TGTGACAATACTGATCAAGTATCTTTTTCCCGCTTTATGAGCAATTAATAGTCAACATGAGAAAGGTCGCACACCCAAAGTATCCAAAGGTTGTTATCTTAGAGGGACATGTCCAATTATGTTGGGGATGTGATCACGTTTATTTTTGCCTCATTATCACGTGAGAAGAGTCGCACACTTTCCTCACACTACCATGTGACTACTGATCACATTATCTTTTCCTCATTGTGGGCAACTAATATTCAACAGGTGCTGTTCTGTGAAAGATTATCTCCTTACCAGAAGTGTGTCACCAATAATAGGAACGCACACAAGACCTACCCCGGTCATAAACTTCATTTACCGTCATAAAAATCACATACCCAAGACTCAAAGCGTCGGGTCACTGATAAGAGCATACATCGCAGGAACATTGACATGGGATGAAATCAGAACTGTGTAGAATCTCTTAAGAACCCGACATACCTTAATCAAGAAAATATTTTCAATTCTCCATACCTGTAGTTTTAACTACAATTAAAATGTTAAAAGCATATTTTGTAGATTATTATAATATTTTGCCATTTGTTTTATTATTGTGAACATGTTTCGTTATATATAATTAAATGTATATTATATTTTTGAAGTTGAAGAAATGAAGTATGTAGTCGAGTTTTTTATCAGGCTCCGAGAAAAGTTCTGCTTATTAACCGCGCCATAAAAAGCACAAACTTACTGCCAAACGACGACGCACTGCTCACGCACCGCAGAAAAAACGCAGGATCCGCAGTGGACCAGCGCACCTTACGAGAATCAGCACTTTGTTTTGCAGAAAGCTGAACTCATTTTCGGCGAAAGTTATGAAAAAACCCGGAAAAGGCAGGAAAGCTCGGACGTGTTGAACCGGCGTGGGAAGAAGTAAACAAGTTTAGAGGTGGTAACCATCTGCTGGTCGCAGCCGTAGTGAGTTGTCTAACACTTAACGAGAACGTCGGGTAGCGGCCACCGTTGAAGGGCGCCAGGTACCTTTTTATTAAAATATAGTATTCTGCTAGGCGGGTAGATAAAAGGTTGTAGTAGTCATGTCGAGTTCGGATGAAAAGGATACCAGCGGAAGTCGGAATATGTTCCAAAACATTGCAGGAGGAGCATCCTTGAAGGATCTGACATTAGCTACGTTGAAACTGCTATCGCTGGATCACCTTCGCGTAGACGTCCGCGCCCAGGATCAGGAAAATGGTGGCAGGCCGATGGATCCGCTAATCCGCGAGCGGTAGCTCCCGAAACTTTCGGATAACGCTCTTACTGAGCGCACGGATAGGAGTGCGGATCCGTACGTTTGAATTGTCGCTGTGCAGATGATCTCCTCTCCCACGTTGGTTGTCGGCAAACGAAACGCGGAGACCAAGGATAAGTCGATGGAGCTTGTCGGGGTGCGGCGGAGTCGAACGTCTTCTCACCGGTCTCGACGATCACCAAGGCAGTTAGGAGGACGTTGACGCTGTGGCGCTGGAGATGTGCCGCGAGCGACGGAGCTGTCGAGAATACTGAGCGCGGTGGAGGGGCAAGCGTTTTTGTACCGGTCACCGCTACGGCAGCTCTCAGTGGTGTACTCATGTGCGAGGCAGTTTGCGCAGCTCAGCTTTAGGAACCTCTGACACTTCAGAAGAGGATGCAGATTCGGCATCGGTAGGATTGAATACCTCTCGTACGTCTGCTATCCAATGCCTGAGCGCTACGTGGACGGGGAGCCATTTTCCTTGTTAAAGTGTGGATAATGAAAAAAGATAAACAAACAGGGCCGGTTTTGACTGAAGTGATTAATGGTTATGGACTAAGAACTATGGGAAGCGCGGCTCGTTACTAGGGAGTTTTGGAAGTCTCTCCTGGGAGAAGAACCATCTTGGTCACTGGACGTTTGACAAAGCCGCATGCCGTACGAATGTCGACTACGCGGATATTGCCATCGGCTCCCGGAAAAACGGAGTCTATTCTCCCGCATCGCCACTCTTTTGAGGGCAAATTGTCGTCCTTGATGACGACCATATCGCCGACGCGGATATTTTCTGTGGGAAATTGCCACTTGTTACGCTTGTGGAGCTCTTTAAAGTACTCATCCTTCCATTGAGCGCGGAGTTGTTGATGGAAACACTTCAATTGCTGCCACCGGTGAAGAATGGACTTGGATTCGCCCTTAACTTCGGGTTCCACTATGGACAGAAGAGGTCCGCCGACAAGGAAGTGCCCTGGTGTCAACGGTAAGAGATCAGTTGGATCCTCGGACATGGGAGATAGCGGTCTGGAATTTTGACAGCTCTTGAAAGGTGTACTTCCGCGTGGCGGTGGACTTGTAAAACAAGGTATTGAAGCTCTTGACACCAGCTTCCCATAGGCCTTCCATATGGGGTGCCCCAGGATGAATGAATTACCAGTTGAATTGACCAGTTGACCAAGTTCTTCATTCTCGGAACCCAGTATCTGGACCGGGACTAACTGGTTACCACCATGTAATGTAATGAGATGCGTAAATTGTTCCAGAAGCCGCGAGAGTGAACATTCGTACGGAAGGATTGTAAGGAACTGATTTTGTTGGTCTGCTCGCTACGAGACTCGTGCGGAAGCTCAGAAGATTGTGCGTTCGTCCCACCGGTATCTCCCGCTCTGGTTCCGCATGCTGCTGATGTTTTTCGCCCTGGCTTGTCGACGCGTTGACTTGACGACCGCTGGCTCCTTTGTCTCGGGATGCTCGTAGTGGCCGCCTCTGCGCTTTGGACTCGCAGAGAGTTTGGCCTTGCGGGCTTATGAAAGCGTCACCGTTCTCAGACTAGGGTGAATAAGCCTTTCTCTCCAGGACAACGCCTTTCGCGGCAATACCTGTCCCTTGCTCTGTCCCGGACGGTCGCGCTAGGTTCTTGCTCAGATCGCGCAGTTCACTTTGCTTTACGCCTACCGCAGACGAACGCTCCACCCGGTTTCACCCTAATGCTTGACTTCCGCGACACTCCTGCGCTCTCCAATGAGCTCCGCGCGGCGATGCGGACGTGGCTGCCGGTGATGTCTGCTGGCGTCGCTGCCGATGTCCTCTGCGCTGTTTCCTGTTTTTCGTGTCCTTAGGCAACCGCCGTTCCGGGTCTTGCCGAACAGCTGGGCTCCTCCAGGACAACGCCTCTTGAATGCCTCAGCTTGGCGTTTCTGGCACTCGGGATTTTTGGATGTTGCTGTTCGGGAACGTCGCCAGTAATCGCTAGGCTCTCCAGGACAACGCCTCTTGAAACCACAAGTCGATCCACCGCTCGTCCTTCACGCCAGGTCCTGCTTGGTCGGGCAAGGTGCACTGGGTCTTAGACAACTTTCCTCCCCGAGCTCAGGGCTCCCGTCGCAGGCCTCTTTCGCTTGACTCAAACAGACCCGCCGGGCGATTCGACAGGGTGTGGTTGAGACAAAGTAGGAAACCGAACGCCTTGACTTAGCCGTGTGATGTCGTCCGGACCTCAGCCACTTATGTCTCAATTCGGCGATTCCTGATGTCGATCTTGCTCCTTGTATGCTTCCCACGGCGCTGCTTCCGACAACTCGCCTTAAGGTGGCTCCCTCGTAGATTACTCGGTTGATTGACTGTTTACTTTAGGATCTTGACTGATCTTGATGGTTTGACTCCTAGTGATCGACTGATCCAGCTGCCAGCGCTCCGCGGCCTCCGGGGACAGTTATTTCCCTTTTGCGCACGGTCCGCTAAATCTCTCCACTCCGGGTCCAAAGTCCGTGGCTCCTGTTTGACCCACTTGTCCTTTACGCACAGCTTCCAACCGATATTCTGCCCACTGCTGCCGTCCCGTTGGTTCCCGTGATGCTTGTGGCACGCCAAAGTTCACGGCAGAGTCCAAAGTCCGGTGGAGTGATGTTATCCCCTTTTGCACACGACACTCTTGCTCTGCCCGCCAAGTGTCCACTCTCTTATTCTCCGCTCCTTGGTCTCCAAACTCTCTTATTCTCCCACATTGTACTCCAAACTCTCTTCTTTTCCAACCGCTCCTCCCCGCGCCGTTACTACGCGAATTCGCCGCGTATCTGGTAAGTGGTAAGTTTTACAACTCCTCACATTCCCCCCTTACGTCGGGAAACAATTAAAAGCTTGTTCATACTCTCCGGCGTTTCCTTGCATATCCTAGCTTTCGTGTCCTTGTGATGCTCCTGCCGATTCCCGTGGCGCTCCCTCGTTGCTCCCTCGATGCTCCCTCGACGCTTTTAACTTCTTCAAATCTCCCGCGCCGATGTTTCTCATGTTTACTCCTACTCCTTTCCATGGTTCCTCCGTTTGGTCCCACTATCCGTGCGTTATCGATGTTTCATCGACTATCGTTACCGACGGTGAAACGTTGCCACCTGCGATATTTTCACCTTTTGCCGATATTTCCATTTTGCGTGTACCCATCGATCGCACTATCGTTCAGTGCCAAACGATCGGCTCGTGGTGATTTTGCAACTTTTATAGGTAAGTTTTCTCATTTCCTTACTCCTTTCTATCTCATCCTTTCTCTCTTTCGTCTTCTCTCGCCCTTCACTCGTCCTCAGCCGGTTGCACCTGGCTCCATGCTGGCAACTTTCCAGAGCGGTTGCGGAGAGGACTTCGCATTTGCTTCGCAATTGGGACAGCAGGTAAATATTGTGATGTTCGAATTTTAGGTTGCTGGTGCGGCCCATGTAAGCCCCTTTTTTTTCCAGCATGTCCCCAATCAACTTCTTGGCCCCGTGCTATTTCGGAAATTCATTGTTTTTGTGCTTTTTTTTAAATGTTTATTTATTGCGAAAATACCCGGATGCCCGCGACTCCAAGCCTCACTCGGTACATCCGTCCGTCTTCGGTGACCAGGATGCACCGCCTGCTACCCTTCCGCCGCGCCGTCGCGACCGCGGGTGCCTCCTCGATCCCCTCCGGCCACTTGCTCCGAGCTATCTCGCGCCAACTGCAGTCGCCTCACTCCGGGCGCCGCTGCAGCGGGGGTCTATAGGTGGCCGGTGGCTCAGGCCACACCCAGGGTCCCTTCTCCAGTGCATCCGCTTCCCCCGTCGGGATTGTCGTCGCCGGTGTTGGTGGGCTCACGTGGTCTGCCGGCACCTCTGTCAGCACCACCGTCGGTTCCTCCGCCTGCGCCTGGTGTGCGGTTGCGGCTGCGCGGTCGGGTTGCGGGATCGGTCGCTCTGGCTCGACATACCGTGGCGTAAGTTGCCGGCCCGGCCTCCACGGCGGCGTATCCACCGGAACGCCTCCGTCGCCCTTCCGGGTAAACCACTTCTCCTCGTAGCGGGGAGTGGGTGGCACCTCCGGCAGCCACCGCGGCCCGGACTGGGCTCCTCGGTCGCGTATCTGCTGTGAGTGGACCTCCCACACGTCCTCCACCGGATCCTCCCACAACCGTTGCTCTTCCTGTTCCGCCTCGTGCAGACTGGCATGCCATCGCGCCGCCGCCTCCTCGTGGTCCTAGCGTCGCCTGGCGCAGCTTGGCCTGCCACCGCGCCTCCTCCTCCGTCATCCGCTGCTGCTCCTCATCCGACGGCTCCCGGTCCCGGAAATTCTTCCGATTCTCCTCGGTGGCCCGGCAGACCGGCCCCTCGGGAGTTCCGCTCCTCCTGCCGTGCCGCGGGCCCCGGTAGTCGCTCCCTCGACGTCCATCGGCCCGCGCGGTATACGGTTGCCGGCCGCTGCCCTCCGGAGCCGCCACTCCCTCTTTTCGACGACGGGATCGCCTACCATCTCCACGTCGCTATCCGAGCTCACCGCGGGTTCCGGTGCGGAGTCCTCGGCATGGGTCCGCTTCAGTGCCCGCCGCGGAGCTCGGGTAGGCCGACCATCCTTGCCCCGGGCTGGGTCCCTGTAGGCCCACCACCCTCCTGCGCGCTTCCGACCTTGTAATTCTTGTGCTCATCTCGACTTCTTGACTTGTAATGCTCGACCGTCGCAAGGCTCCCCTTACATGCGCGCCTTCCTCTTTGCCTGACACCGTTATGTCCTTCCCTGGGGCTCTCGCTCTCTTACGGTACAGCTCTCTTTGCTGTGCCGTCTTCCCCCTTCATTCGGAAAACACAAACGTTGTACTCCGTCAGATCATAGTGGCTCTCTGAATGCTGCGGTTCATTGTTCCTCTGAGTTCCCTAACTAACTTGCTTTGAGACCTTTTGGTGTCCTTCGGGTATCCTTGGGGAATCCTTCCTGTTTGAATGATGTGCTTTTGCTAGTGTTGTTGTGCCGTCCTTGTCAGTGTTCGTCCCGACTGGCGTAACCAGGGATGACTCTGGTAAAAGCCCGACGCTGAATCCTGTTGCCTTGCGGGGTGATCCCTTATCGTTACCCGTATCTTTGTGTCGTCTTCGTAAGTGTCCTTTCCGACTGGCGTAACCGCGGATGACTGTGGCAAATGCCGCACGCTGAATCCGGTTGCAATACGGTCGGGATCACCATCCATCCTTATCCATGTCCTTGTGACCTATCCTTATGATTGTCCTTTCCACGTGGCGTATGGATGACTCTCTCTTCGGCCTGACGCTTATTCCTTTCGCCTTCTACCTGTTGTTAGTCATCTGATGTTTCTGGTGTCTGCTCGTTTTGTTGTTGCTTGAACTCGTTCCGTTCTTTCTTTGAATGTGTGTGACGTATTTTGCAAATCACTTGAGAGACGAAATCTACAACCTGGTAAGGGGCAATGTTACTTGGGTGACCGCTTTGGACAGGTGATGTTCCTTGGCCCATACTAAGTCACCCACCGCTGGTGTCCATTGCCTCCTTCTTAGATTATAGAGTGTGGCTTGGTCCTGGGATGCTTTTTCCATATTTCGCCGTACGATCTCAAATACCTCCCTCAGTTTGCAGGCTTTTTCCTCAGGGGTCTCCGTGGCTCGTCCAGTGCCTAGGGTTTCCTTATCACATAGGCTGCTGGGTAGGCGCGGTTCCCTGTCCTGGGTAAGAAACGCCGGTGTATGGATGGTGGATACTGATGTGCTCGTGCTCACTGCTAACATAATCTCCGGCCACTTCGCGTCCCAATTTCTCTGGTCCTGCCCTGCGAATTGCGCAATCATGGTTTTGACTGTTCTGTTTGCTCGTTCGGTCGGATTCTCTTATGGTGTGTATGGTGCGGTGAATTGTAGATTGATACCCATCTTTTAAAGATACGTCTTGCAAACTTTACTCCGTTGTCCGTTATGACCAGCTTCGGGATCCCGTACTTTGCGATTATGCGCTCCCTAAACGCCTTCTTTAGCGACTCCGCTGTCGCACTGCGCAGGGGCAACAGTTCCGTCCATTTCGAAAATCTGTCTATCATGACCAGCAGCATTTGGTTCCCGTGCTTAGATCTTGGTAGGGGTCCAACGAAGTCTGCACATACCGTGGCCCATGATTCGTACGGCACTGGGTCAACATTTTCCCGGTCGCCTGCACTTCATTGGGCTTAAGCCGCATGCAAGTCTCGCATTTTCTTACGTGTGCTCGGCCGTCTCTATGCATGCCTGGCCAGTAGTATCGGGCTGCCAACCGTGCAATTGTCCTCCGGCTTCCTACGTGTCCCGCCGATGGTGCGACGTGGTTTTCCCTCAACACTGTTTCCCGTAGCGACTTTGGGTCGCACATCTTCCATGACGCGACGTCTTCACTGCCTGCTCGATGTGGTATGTTTCTGTACAGTGTCTCACCATCCATAACATAGTCAGGGTACTTCTGCGGTTGGGTCCTTATCTTTTCGCCCATGTCCTTGATCCAGCTGCACCCTCCTGAAGCTATTGTCGCCGATGCCTCTTAAATAGTATGGAAACGCGGATTCTGGGACAATTTGCATATTAATGGCCCTCGCCCCTTTACTAATTAGCATATTAATGATCCCGCTCCTCACTAGTTAACATATTAATGGCCCCGCCTCCTCATTAATGTTTGCGGGTTCTAGGACAATTAGCATAATCCATAAATTAACTGATTTTAAAAGGTGTAGATGCCATAAAAATGTCACGATTATATCCATAAAGAGTATACTAAATTGCCCACACCACGATGTGACATTATTGGTCCCGGGACCTTTTCCTAATTATAAGCAATTAATATTAAGCAGGTGTTGCTGTACACGGGAGAAAGGTCGAAAACTTTCCCCACATCCATCCAACAATATTGATCATGTATTCTTTCCCTTATTATCAGCAATTAATATTCAGCAGGTGTTTCTCTGCACGTGAGAAAGGTCGCAAACCCAAAACATCTAAAGATTATTGCCTTAGAGGGACATGTCCAATCATGTTGGGGAATAACGTTTCCTATGATTGTTAAACTAAACTTGTCGGGGTGCGGCGGAGTCGAACGTCTTCTCACCGGTCTCGACGATCACCAAGGCAGTTGGGAGGACGTTGACGCTGTGGCGCTGGAGATGTGCCGCGAGCGACGGAGCTGTCGAGAATACTAAGCGCGGTGGAGGGGCAAGCGTTTTTGTACCGGTCACCGCTACGGCAGCTCTCAGTGGTGTACTCATGTGCGAGGCAGTTTGCGCAGCTCAGCTTTAGGAACCTCTGACACTTCAGAAGAGGATGCAGATTCGGCATCGGTAGGATTGAATACCTCTAGTACGTCTGCTATCCAATGCCTGAGCGCTACGTGGACGGGGAGCCATTTTCCTTGTTAAAGTGTGGATAATGAAAAAAGATAAACAAACAGGGCCGATTTTGACTGAAGTGAATAATGGTTATGGACTAAGAACTATGGGAAGCGCGGCTCGTTACTAGGGAGTTTTGGAAGTCTCTCCTGGGAGAAGAACCATCTTGGTCACTGGACGTTTGACAAAGCCGCATGCCGTACGAATGTCGACTACGCGGATATTGCCATCGGCTCCGGGAAAAACGGAGTCTATTCTCCCGCATCGCCACTCTTTTGAGGGCAAATTGTCGTCCTTGATGACGACCATATCGCCGACGCGGATATTTTCTGTGGGAAATTGCCACTTGTTACGCTTGTGGAGCTCTTTAAAGTACTCATCCTTCCATTGAGCGCGGAATTGTTGATGGAAACACTTAAATTGCTGCCACCGGTGAAGAATGGACTTGGATTCGCCCTTAACTTCGGGTTCCACTATGGACAGAAGAGGTCCGCCGACAAGGAAGTGCCCTGGTGTCAACGGTAAGAGATCAGTTGGATCCTCGGACATGGGAGATAGCGGTCTGGAATTTTGACAGCTCTTGAAAGGTGTACTTCCGCGTGGCGGTGGACTTGTAAAACAAGGTATTGAAGCTCTTGACACCAGCTTCCCATAGGCCTTCCATATGGGGTGCCCCAGGATGAATGAATTACCAGTTGAATTGACCAGTTGACCAAGTTCTTCATTCTCGGAACCCAGTATCTGGACCGGGACTAACTGGTTACCACCATGTAATGTAATGAGATGCGTAAATTGTTCCAGAAGCCGCGAGAGTGAACATTCGTACAGAAGGATTGTAAGGAACTGATTTTGTTGGTCTGCTCGCTACGAGACTCGTGCGGAAGCTCAGAAGATTGTGCGTTCGTCCCACCGGTATCTCCCGCTCTGGTTCCGCATGCTGCTGATGTTTTTCGCCCTGGCTTGTCGACGCGTTGACTTGACGACCGCTGGCTCCTTTGTCTCGGGATGCTCGTAGTGGCCGCCTCTGCGCTTTGGACTCGCAGAGAGTTTGGCCTTGCGGGCTTATGAAAGCGTCACCGTTCTCAGACTAGGGTGAATAAGCCTTTCTCTCCAGGACAACGCCTTTCGCGGCAATACCTGTCCCTTGCTCTGTCCCGGACGGTCGCGCTAGGTTCTTGCTCAGATCGCGCAGTTCACTTTGCTTTACGCCTACCGCAGACGAACGCTCCACCCGGTTTCACCCTAATGCTTGACTTCCGCGACACTCCTGCGCTCTCCAATGAGCTCCGCGCGGCGATGCGGACGTGGCTGCCGGTGATGTCTGCTGGCGTCGCTGCCGATGTCCTCTGCGCTGTTTCCTGTTTTTCGTGTCCTTAGGCAACCGCCGTTCCGGGTCTTGCCGAACAGCTGGGCTCCTCCAGGACAACGCCTCTTGAATGCCTCAGCTTGGCGTTTCTGGCACTCGGGATTTTTGGATGTTGCTGTTCGGGAACGTCGCCAGTAATCGCTAGGCTCTCCAGGACAACGCCTCTTGAAACCACAAGTCGATCCACCGCTCGTCCTTCACGCCAGGTCCTGCTTGGTCGGGCAAGGTGCACTGGGTCTTAGACAACTTTCCTCCCCGAGCTCAGGGCTCCCGTCGCAGGCCTCTTTCGCTTGACTCAAACAGACCCGCCGGGCGATTCGACAGGGTGTGGTTGAGACAAAGTAGGAAACCGAACGCCTTGACTTAGCCGTGTGATGTCGTCCGGACCTCAGCCACTTATGTCTCAATTCGGCGATTCCTGATGTCGATCTTGCTCCTTGTATGCTTCCCACGGCGCTGCTTCCGACAACTCGCCTTAAGGTGGCTCCCTCGTAGATTACTCGGTTGATTGACTGTTTACTTTAGGATCTTGACTGATCTTGATGGTTTGACTCCTAGTGATCGACTGATCCAGCTGCCAGCGCTCCGCGGCCTCCGGGGACAGTTATTTCCCTTTTGCGCACGGTCCGCTAAATCTCTCCACTCCGGGTCCAAAGTCCGTGGCTCCTGTTTGACCCACTTGTCCTTTACGCACAGCTTCCAACCGATATTCTGCCCACTGCTGCCGTCCCGTTGGTTCCCGTGATGCTTGTGGCACGCCAAAGTTCACGGCAGAGTCCAAAGTCCGGTGGAGTGATGTTATCCCCTTTTGCACACGACACTCTTGCTCTGCCCGCCAAGTGTCCACTCTCTTATTCTCCGCTCCTTGGTCTCCAAACTCTCTTATTCTCCCACATTGTACTCCAAACTCTCTTCTTTTCCAACCGCTCCT